GGGGAGGAGCCAAGGGGGGGAGGGTGTAACCAAACAAGCGCGCGAACACACACACACACACACACACACACACACACACACGCTACACCACAGGAGACACCGGAAAATACACACCCAGAAACACACACACAGACAGAGAGAAACACAATGAGACACACACACAAATAACTACACCTCCAGCCCCGACACCCACATCACAGGAGGAGAAGGAGCTACACCACACCCCGCACACTGAGCCCCTCGGGCACACCGCCGGAATAACATTCAGATTATTTTATTCCTGCACTTGACTGTTGAATTTATTCTAGAGGCCATATTTGATTCTGTGCCAAAAGTCTAACCCTTAGGCTTTCAATTGGGAGGGAAAGAAATCACTTCAATTAGTTAACATTTATTAACATTTTCATAAAAACCAATATATCAGGCCAGCCTTCAGGACACTTCTGTCAGAGAAACCTAAGGCAGGCCAGGCTTTTTTCTCTTCACCAAACGTACCTAGGAGCCTAAAAGATACCATCTGACTGAACCTATGTAATTGGAACAATCACCACTGGACTTTTTCCATACAGGAGGACCAAGTTAGCCTGTGGCCCTCTGCAAGGATCCCATTTCTCAGGCAGTTGGGAATCAAGGGGATGCCTGGCCCCACCCGCTGGCGGACCGGGGTAGGGGGGCCAGCGGAGGCTCCCAGATGCTGACATCTGGGGCTGCCCACCCGAGACTGAGTAGCAGAGCTCCCGGTTGCTGCCCTCCTTTCCTGCCCCCCTTGTTTCTTGCCCCCCTGCAGCGGAAGAGGGAGTGGGAGGACACGCCCTAGGCCCTGCCCTGTCACCCCCTCCAGGCTGGGGGTGGGGCACCATCTCACAGCTCGCCTAACCTAGCCTCCGCCTCGGGGTGTCTGGGCAGGGTGTTGGAGATTTGGGGGGAGCTGTGCACCTCTCTCGGCCCCCAGTCTTGCCTCCCCCTCGCCAGGAAGGGCCAGGGGACAATTGAGGTCAGGGGGTGGAGGTTCCCAGGGGGGCACAGGGCCAAGCCTGGCACTCTGATTGCAGGGATTATGAGAACACTTCCAGGGCAGAAGCCAGCACGGTGGCTCTCAGGGCCTCCTGGGCTTGGCACTCAGCCCTCCCCTGGGGGGCAGTGACCTTGGGGGCAAGCAAGCTGACATCTGGCTGGGATCCCTGAGACCAGGGCGCTGGGCCCTGGGCAGAGAGGACAGCCCTGGGCTCTGGGTCAAGGCTGGGAGGGGGAACAGAGAGAGGCAGCATGTGCATGCGTGTGGGCATGTATGTGTGCGTGGAGTGTGTGGGGTGAACAGGTACACATGTGAGTGCCGGATATGCTGCCTGCAGTGTCCTGGTGCCTGCTGGGCCCAGTGCAGAGCTCAGGTGCACTGCAGTGCCCGTGGGGAGGGTGCTTGGACTGCGCACCATGATTGTGTGAGCGCGGGCACCTGGCTGGGGCTGGCGTGTGCTGGGATGTTTGTGGGCATATGCGCTGTGACAACAGCGAGCACTTCTGGTGTCAGTGAGTGGTGAGAAGTTCGAGCACGTGTGTGGTGGAGTCTGCTGCATGGCGATATCTGAGGGGCGTGGTGTGGGAGTGGGTGCCTGGGTGAAGCATGGAGAGGCTGTGTGTGTGGTGGCGTGCGCTTGGTGTGGTGTGCTGGGTGCACTGCGTGTGTGTCTCATGTTCCGTGGTATGTGGCGTGCTGGATGAAGGGGTGCTGAGGAGTTATGCTGTGTGGCTGTGTATCTGGCGTGTTCTGCTTGTGTGTTGCGTGGTGTGTTGTGTGAACGAGAGCACACGACAGTGGGGTGGGGCGTGCCTGTGTGTGGACACAGCTATAGGAGACACACTCACTTGGGGCCAGGCAGTGAGAAGGTGCGGGTAGCAGGAGTCTCACCGGAGCCGACAAAAACGTGCCAGTCTGGCAGGGCCCGCTGGGCCACTCTCCTTCCAGATCCCCTGGCAGGAATCCTGTCTGCCTAGGCTGGCGCCTCCCCTCCCCCAGAGCAGCCCTGAATGAAGCAACAACTTAGCCTCAGCCCAGGGATGGGCCTGGCATCCCCGATTGGGCAATGCCAAGTTGGTGCTGCCCCCTTCACTCTCTTCTCTGCCTCCCAGAGGGGCAGACGCAGGAGGGAAGGGAGGCCCGAGGAGAAAGGCAGAGGGGACTCACCAGCTGGAGGATGTCCTCGTCCCTGGGCATGATGGAAAGCTCCAGAGCATCATCGCTACGGAGACAGGGCAGGGGGTCAGGCCCAGCCGAGGCCACAGGGTCTGGGAGAACAGGGATCCTGGTCGCCAGGGCACCCCCAGGGCCAAGGGGATGGGGGTGCAGGGACTCAGTGAGAGGGCGGAGTTACTATGGGCGAAGAGAGGCAGGGGCGCTCACCTGTTCTGGATCAGAGCTATGACCTGGGAGTAGCTCTTCCCAATGACACTCTCCCCGTTCACCTTCACCAGCCGGTCTCCTGGGGACAGGGGGCAGGACCACGGGTGAGCAGGCCACGGCGTGTCAGTGGCCCCCCCTGAGCACCCCTGTCCGGAATGGATGACAGTGGGCGGCAGAAGCCTCCCTAACACCTGGGTCCAAGGATCCCATCCTAACCCGAGGGCAGGAAGAAGAGACCCAGGGGTGCAATGAGCCAGGTAACTGGGACAGCTCACCTGTGCGAAGCCCCGCCCGGTGGGCAGGGCCCTCATCCTTCACATTCTTGACGAAGATGGTGTCCATGGGCTCCAGGCGGTGCCGGGGGGAGTGTCCTGGTGAGCATCAGCCAGGTTAGCTGGGGGAGGCTGCTGAAGGTGACACCCATGCACAGCTACACACACAGAAGACACACTCAGAGAATTATCACTCACACAGACAGACACACGGAGACCCGCACACCCACAGGGGCACGGTGCACAGGGTCAGACAGGACGACACACTCCTGGGGGAAGGAAAACCGACACGGATGCTGAGCGACTCCGTATGCCTCCTGCGTCCCGTGCCAGACTGACAAGGAGACATCGTTCTTCCCCTTCTTAGCTCGCTATGTGGTGGGACAGACAGACAGACACACACACACACACACACACACACACAGCACAAGACAAAGGAAAGGGCACACTAAGAGAGGCTGTGTCAAGTCCTGCAGACACATCAGTGGAGAGAGACACCCCCATACACAGAGCATGTCCACACCCAGAGACCAGGGGAGCAGCAGGAAGGCCCCGGCCCCCACACTTGGGCATCACATGGGACCCCAGCAGCCCTATTCTGCTGCTAACTGTCTCCGCCAGAAATAGGCCTCGTCTAGGTCAGTGGGCTCCTCCCCCTCAACCCCGCCACAGGCCTCTGTGATGGGGACTCGGGAAGAGAGTGTGCCCATGGCTTCCCCACGGAAACCCTAGTGGCAGAGGAGGAAGGCTGCCTGTTCAAGGAGTCCTGCCTTGAATATCCTGGGGAGCCTGGGTGCCAGAGAGGGACCCTGCAAAATAGCAAGGGCGACAGCCAGGGGATGGAGGCTCATATTGGAAAAGATCTAGACGCCAGGGTCCCCTTATGCCCAACATATTCGCAAGGACAGCCCTGGACCAGCTGCAACCCGCCCCCTCACTCCCTGGCCCTGCAGCCCCTGTGTGTGCCTCAGTCTAGGTTGGGAGTGACTCCAGGACAGGGGCCGCGTCTTAGAAGTCCATGACTCCTCACGGTGCCACCTCTAGTGTGAAATGGAAAGGCCCAGAGGGAGACAAATGTGGGAAAAGAAAGGGAGGAGAGAGGAAGAGAGCGTGAGCAGATGTCCGGGGTGGCCACACAGAGAAGAGCAAAGACAGGAAGAGCAGTCGAGGGCGAGGGGCACAGCAAAATCCAGGCTGACTCCTTACCTCCTCCTCGGCCTCCATTCTCTTCCTCCTGCATGGGACAGAGAGATGGGTGTTGGCCCTCTGCCCAGCTCCACCTGGGCGGGCCCCTTCAATCTCCCTCACCCAACGGCCCACCCTCTTATCTTCTCCAAGTAGCCCAGCGCCTGGAGGCGGCGGGAGGGGTGTCCATGGGGACATCAAGTCCCAGGCATGATTCCCCAGTGACATGAGCTCCCTCTCACGCTGATCCCACCAGGTCAACATCCCAGCCATCTGAAAGCCCCCAATACAATGGGGGACCCATGACCCCTCCCCTTAGGGAGCTCAAACCAAGCATACTTACACACAGAGAGAACCCAGACAGACACAGATAAGCAGGCATGACGCGTGCAAACAGTGGCTATCAGTTCTCAGAGAATGGGAGGGCAGGCCTGATTAAGGTCCCTCTGGGGGAGGGGACTTTAAGGCCTGGAAGAAGGCGCTCTGGGTGAGGGGAGGGGAGTGTGCGGGCGCTTGGGATCAGAAATAAGCCAGCACATGTAGCACTGAATCAGCTGAGCTGCAGGAGCCAGTCAACACCAGCAAGCCACCGAAGGCAGACCGAAGCATTCACGTTTGAAATGAGAGAAAGAGGGAGCCAGTGAAGGTTCCTGAGTGGGAGAGAGTGGGTGTGAAATACCAGTTAGAGAAGGGGATTCTGGCCTCTAGGTTCAGGGCTAAGAAACTGAGTCAAGGGGACCCACTGGGGAGGCCTCTGGGACCATCCTGGTGAGTGAGGGGGAAGGGCACTAGATTTGGGGAGGAAACAAATGAGAGGAAGGAGGAGGTCAGAGAGACACAGGGCCAGCAGGAGTAGCATTTTAGAACGGGATCCAACCTGCGGTGCCATCTTGACTAACCCTCCCCACAGATCATCCATGTTACAGCTGACTTGTCCAGGGCTGCTCGCTCAGACTCAGTTGCGGAGCCAGGGCTGGAACCCAGGTCTCTGGCATGCCAGCCGGGACAAGAAGGCTCGGGGCACTGCTGGAGAGTCCCTCTGCCCTGCCCTCCCATATGCGGTGCCTGCCCGCGGGTGGCAGAGGCAGATGGGTGCATTTGGCCGGCTGAGCTCCCTGCAGGCTCCCAGTCCTGGGCAGGCTCTGGAAAGGCACTGGAGCTGTCCCTGGCTTACCCCACCCATGTGAGCTCTTGGAGACAGGCCCACCACCAGCCTAGACCACTCAGGCTGCTCTTGCTCTTGTCACCCCTCAGCAGGGACCCCTGAGAGAAGTCGGCAGAGGCCAGGAAAGAAGGAAGAAAGAACTGAAGGTTCCAGGGAACTCGGGGGCTGCTATCCTTGGGCATCAAGGGGTGGGGCAGTGCCCCTCCCACACCCCATCAGCCCCCACTCACACTCGGCAGCCAGTGAGAAGGGCTGCTGCGGCCCCCAGCCCAGATTCAGACATGGCTGGGAGCGGTGTGCACCCACATACACATGACGTGTATTTACAGACACCGATGTGCACCTGTCTAGACACACACGTGTGTGTACATGCCCAGCATACCATGTATGTACACGTGCCCACAAAGAGCAGTGCACACACAGGCAGTGAAATCCAATGTCTAGTTCTCTGGCAACGAGCTCCGCATGGGAGAGTCTCCTGGCAGCGTGCAGGCTGGGCTCAGCTCTGGGGGAAGGGGAGAAATGGGTTCATTGACTCCAAAGTGAATTGTCCTCCTCTGCTGCTGGGAGGGACTTGGGGAGGGGAGCCTAGGTCAGTGGGCAGCCTGGTTCCTAGACTCAAAGAACCTGACATTTATATGAGGGCTGGAAGGGCCCTTAGGGGTCAAGCAGGGAAATGCCCTCAGGTTGCAGCAGGAAAAGCAAAGCCCAGAGATCTGAGTGAGTTAGGAGTTGTCCCAGGGCTAGAGCCCAGGGTTCTTTCCAGCACACGGGGCCTGAGCCTGGGCCCGGGGCGCCAGGGGGTGCTCCAGACGTGTGTTAGGACAGATCCCTGAGAGCTCAGGCTGGGCGGGGCCACAAACCCAGCTCAGAAGTGGCCAGCGGACAACGGTCCCAGGACTGCATCTCTCCGAGCGGCTGTTCACCTTCCAGAAACCAAGAGTCCGAGGCGTGAGTGAGCACCCTGGCTCCCTCACCTCTAGGCGGCCTGTTCTGAACCAGCCACCCCTCCCCTCTCCTGAGAAGATGAAGATGACCCAGGACACAGGAGGAGGACTGTGCCGGAGGGGCCGGTGCAAAGCGATCTCCTCTCCCGCAACAAGGCTTCCTCAGGACGTACCTTCAGGCTGCAGTGCACGGCGGACTCGGGTGGGTACACGATGAAGTGGCGCAGGGTGAAGCCAAAGCCATCCTGGAGGCTTTTGTGCAGCAGCAGTGTCCGCGGGCCCTGCCAGGGGAGGGGGCGCCCAGAAGAGCACCCATCTCTCGAGCCCAGAGGCAGCTGTGGGAGCACAGGGAGACGGGTGAGTGGCCTGGTGACCCACAGTCTCAAGTCTGCACACTGCCTCCTGCAGCCCCGAGGACTTGACGGGGACGAGATGGGGTCCATGGGGTTCCAGGCCCCTCCCCCTCCTCAGCCCTTCCTTCCTCTCTCACACTCATTGGCCCAACCGCTTCTTCCTCTTTCCTTCCTCTCAATCCCCTCATAATGCCTTTGCCTCTGAGGAAATAACTCGCTGCTGTGAGCCAGGCGTTGGCTCAGTTCAGTTCACCAAATGTTCACTAAGCACCTACTGTGTGCCAGGC